GTGATAGGTCGAGATCTCGGAAAGACAAGCACTTGGCTGTTGACGATGATGCATCTGATCGCACCGCCTCTCCTGACAACATTCTCAAGGATTTCCTCGATAGTCAGGCGGATGAAGGCGTTTCGGAGAATGCAGGCGGATCATCAACCTCTAACTTCCCAGGTGGCGATCCTGACTCCGGAGTTTGCCAAAGGATCCAAGCAAGCCAACGAGGTTTGTTTTATCTAAACAACTTATGATCAGACAGTATCGCTTATCTTTTCTTTTTATAGGGCCTTCTGACCATGAGCCGAGTCCTAAATGACCGCTGGGCCGAAGCTCGTCTTGCCGAGTTTCGCGCGGACATGGCGGAAAAAGAAGTTGCTTGTCTTCGGTCGGAGATCGAGGCCCACCAATCCGGAGAAATGGTCGAGAGGGAAGTAACTCGTGTAAGGAATGAGTGTGCGGTTAACGCTCGCCGTGCTAAGGAGCTTTCTGATCAGAGAGTTTGTCGCGCTCGTCGTGCACGCAAAAGGGAGGTTGCTGAAGAAATGAGGATCCGTCGTGAGCAATTTGCGACCTGTTACTCAAATACCGAGGTCGCTCAATGGGCCAAGGGTGATTACCTCGAGTGTCGTGGTGTTGTTCATGGGCTGTCTCTTACTCAGAATGAGGGTTTCTCGTATGCCAAAGAGTATCCCGTGCAGTTGGAGCGCTTGGATCAGAGGAGAGATATGCAGCCTGAACTATTTGATCTCATGGCACGCATGTGGGATCAGTGGAACCCTATCATGGTGTCGCCGGATTCAGTTGAAATCGGGCCTGAGATTCCAGACGCGAGTGGCGAAGTCGATCAATCGTGGTTTGATACTAATGTTGACCAGAGCTCGGCGTCCGTGTTTGATGATTTTGATGTATGCTGTTATTATTTTCTGATTTTGTTGTTTTTCCGGGACTGGCTGTTGGTGGCTTTGAATCTCTGCCGCTGGGCGGCGTGTATTTGGATGAAAACTTTTAATAAAAATATTTTCTAAGTATGAAATCTGTGTTTCGTTTTAGATGTAGAGGGAAGAATACGAGTTGTCGTCTCGCATCTAACTCTTGGTGTAGATCGTCCGGTTTGTTTACTCGGAATGTTTTGATTTCCGCGAGTATTTAGATGTGGGCGAAGAGACATGCCTTTAGGATCTCGATTCATGCCTTGAGACATTAGAGACCAGTGGTCTGGGTTTAGGGTAAGACCTAGGTTTACTTTCAGATTAAGGCTATTCGATGAATAGTCGGCTTTCGTTTTTTGTATTGCGATTTTAACCTGATTCCATACCGGTTTAGAATCCGCGATAGGTTCTCGGCTTATACAATTCGTCTGGTTGGAACCGAGTATCTCACCGGGAACAATTTCTAAGTTGCCGGGAAGTGCTGACCAAAAATTTGGATTTCTTTTATAGCGCGCTATTTTATCCTAGTCGGATGTACGCGGACCAATGGGTCAGTGCGTTTGTTTAGGACGGCTAGCATGCTCGGCGGGGCCAATCGCCGAGCGTTTGTATTTTTATAGTCGCGGACGGACTTTTGTGAAATATTTTTCTTAAGACTTTAGGCGACGTCTCGCCGGTTTTTTCCAAAAATATCTTGGTGTACAAGGTTCGTAGAAACGATTAAGTAGTTGTTACTGCAGAAGTAATTTCCGGATGTTTTGAATTTGTTTTTTGCGTTTTCGATAGTAGAAGAGATTTATAATATTCTAAGTTTGCCTTTATTAAAGAGTTTCGAAAATTTTGATTACAAAGCGAATGATTTAAAATCCGGGAGTATACGAATACTCGTATACGCACCCACTCCCCCCCCCCCCATTTTAGAAAAGGGGATAGCTGAACTCGTCTTTAGGCGAGCTACCTATGTATTCCTTTCGGAAATCAAGCCATCTCATAGTTCTGATTGTTTGTGCGAGTATGTTTACTCGGCTGTCGCAGACTTTTCGATCACTTTAGCCGCTGGATCGGTGTCTTGGTCCGAGTTTTTCTCCTCCGGTTGGGTAGAAGCGATGGGTGCGGAAGCTTGTTGCTTCTCGACCGTTGCTGGTTTCGGATCGTTCTCTGCGGGCGGTAGTATGTACTTCGCCCGTTTCGGTTTCACGATTGCAACCGCCAATTGCCTTAGCTTATGTTCGTCTAAGAAGCAAGATAGCGACTATCTTTAGCATCCCCAGATTGCTGCGACTCCCGTTGGGGTCGGGAATTTGATGCCTAAATGATATGTCGACAACACCGCCTTTATGGAATTTATCCAAGGTGTGCCCATGATCGCGTTGTAGATGGCTGGGAAATCGACGACCGCGAAGTTGACAATTTTCGTCACTTCCTTGGCTGGGACCGGTAGTTGGATCGATCCTAGAGTCATAGATGTTTCGCCGGAGAAACTATTCAGCGGCTTCGGTATCGGTTCGACTTCTGATAAATCGATTCCCGTTCGTGTCAACGTGTTGCAGAAGATTATGTTGACAGTGCTTCCAGTATCGACCAAGATTCGAGCGACTTCTAGGTCGCTTATCACTATGTCAATAACGAGGGGATCGGCATGTGGTTGGTCGATTCCGCCGGTTTCTGCTTTGTCGAAAGAGATCACTCCCCTTGGAGTGTTATCCGACGGTACCTTCCAACTCGAGCCAGTTTTGGCCTTTCGTAGGTAAGATTTGATAGACGACACGGTATCGTTATAATACTACGATTCGCCAATGATCATTTTGATCTTTTGGCGGTTAGCATCGTTACCTTTCTCGTCTTGCCTTCGTCCGTGTTTTTCGCCCGACTGGTTCCCTTGGGGCGGAGTTTCCGCTTGTGAGTTCCTATCGTTTTTTGGAGAGAGATCTGAATCGCGGATGAGATCTTTGACGCTGGTTGTCTCGGAGAGTTCTCCCGCGATCAGTTTTGCGGTGAGTCTGGCGCCGAGGACTTTGCAGTTCACGGTAGAGTGCCCACGGGTTTAGTGGAGATCGCAGAAGTAATTCTCGTCGTAGTTCGGATTCCTTGACCACGTATTGCCCGTAGTTCGCCCTTGTTCCGATCCGGAGTTAACGGCGTAGTTGTGTGCTCCTTGGAGATCATGTCCCTTGTAATGGACAAATTTGTCGCTACGAGAGTTTTTCTTTTTTCAGCTTTTGCTCAGACGCGACATCCTTTGCAGATGCTTTTGTCGGCTTATGCTTTTCGGACAGGATTTTAGTCTGGTCTTCTATGGTTATGTAATCGGTAGCTTTGTGGAGCGCGTCCTGGATTGTCCGCGGTTTTTCGAGAGTTATCCACTTTCGAAACTTCGACTTGAACCAAAGCAACTTTCTGAGTGTGTCGATGGCAGATTTGTGTCTTATCTTGCTTACTCTAGCCATGACGAGTTTGAACCTGCTCATGAAATCACGAAGGGTTTCGCCTTCCTTCTGCGACAAGCTCCAGAGATCAGGGCCTAATTAAAAGTATGAATAAGCGATATTGAGAGCAAGAAGGTTCTTATTCTGAATTCGCGTAAGAACGGTTACAATGAGAGTAGCCTTAACTTCGTGAGCCGTCGGCAAGATTCCTAACCCTAGCAATCTTAAGACTATACCCTAGTTGAGACACGGCTCGATAACAAAAACAGAAATATTCTTAAAAGCTAAGTTTGGTGGTGAAAGCTCTGAAAAAACTCGTCCCCTGCTTCTGTCCTATGCCTCTTGCTTATATACTCCCTTCCTTGGCGGGTTGGTCCTTCTATTTCGCCCAGATTCGAGATTATTGAGAATCTTCCATTCATTTCGATCTTTCTCTTTTTTTCCCTCGGAAATCTTCTATTTATCTTCAAACTTGACATTTATCTTCAAATTTGACATTCATCTTCTTTCCATGAGTAAATCGTCAAAAAAGTCGTCGTATCTTCGGATTAAACTTCGTCAAAGTCGCAAGATAGGCTTTTATCGCGTTTTAGGTCTTTTCGAGCTATTTTGCGATAAAACCGTTTTACGACTTTATACGAGATCGTTTCCTGATGCGATGCCGTTTTTAAATAAGTTTCTCGAGTTAATCGTAAAGTTTGGCAATGTTCGATGTTTTGTTTAACTGTTGCTGTTTTCTACGATTCACTCGAAGTTTTATTAAAAACGCGTTTTTTACGATTTCTCACGAAAAATCTCGAGTAAATCGTATAGTTTAGGCAATGTTAGGTGTTTTGTTTAACCGTTTCCGTTTTATATGATTTCCTTGAGTTCTTTCGAGAAAACAAGACTTTACGGTTTTTATCGTAAAACTCGAACGATAGGACGGATCGAGACGAAACGAGGGACATTTCGACCGTGGTTCAGGACATGGTCGTGCCGAAGGACGTAGGCCCTGAATCGAGGACGTGGGAGATCTAGGCTCAGGATAATTAGCTCGACGTACGACGAACCGAACCGGAACGGTTCAACTCGCTGTACAGCGAGCTATACGAGACGCCCCTAGCTCGCCGTACGGCGAGCTAGTTCGGCCGAACCAGCTCGCGGTTTATGGCGGATGCTGTTTTTGCGGTTTTATGCCTAACTCGGAGGATCGTGTAATCGGCGTTTGTTTCGTTCTTTCGAGATAACGATTTCCAAGTTTTCCGCGGATTTCCTTTGTTCGGAAACTTATTAGAATTTTATAAAACGACTTCCCGAGTTTTATAAAACGACTTCTCGAATTCTATAAAACGACTTCTCGAGTTATATAAAATGATTACTCAATTTTATAAAACAGCTTGGCGAGTTTTATAAAACGTATTTAGTATTTTTTACGGATAGTTTTGGCTATTGATTCCGTCGTACCGATTTTGACCCCAACAACGCAAGCTTGATTCACACCTTTTTCCTCCGGTTTTATAAGTGTTTTACCCACTCTGGATCATTGAAACCACCTTATCGCATCACGAAAATAACCATGTAGAGGTGTGAGTATATATATCCTTTTTGCAGACATGAACATCACAGCTTCGACGAGCATAGGAAGAAAAGTTTGTTCAACTTTTCGATTGCTACAATGGTGATTTATTCCATCCTCCTTGCCAATTTGAAAGTTGGGTGCTGCTCCGACACCACCGAGGTTCACTTGTTGAGGTTTTGGGAGGCCAGAAATGTGAGAAAATGCGATGAGCTCATGAATCTAGACATACTCCTCATCGACGAGAATGTAAGCATTTTCCTTCCGATTAACGCTGTTGACGATTGGTTCCATTATGATTGTCATAAAAAATTTGTCCTTTTTAATAGTCGACGGTTATTCAAGGTTATGTTAATGTGAACCGTCAATTCATGTTCAAGCAGCGTCTCAGTGAAGGGTCAGTCTACAGGCTGAGCGGGTTTGATGAAACGTGCAGGAACCCCAATTTCCGGATGTTGGATGCCCCTTTCTCCATTCGGTTCAATAATGGAACCTCTTTAGTTAAGAAAATAACATTTATTAGCCTCATACCTACTGAACTTTTCATATTTCTAACCTGGTCTGAAGTATAAAGATGTTCTTACTGGAATCTTAAGTTATACTTAGAAGTATTAGGCATTGTATGTTCATTATTAACTTTTAATTTGGGGAATTAGCACCTAATTAACACATTGAGATAAAACTCGATACCTAATTGTTAACAAGAAATTAATTAAAATATATAGCCAAAAAGAATACATAATTAAAATGAAGGCTTCAATAAAAATTAGTGAAAAACATAAAATAATATATAACAGATAAAACAATAATGAACAAGCGATAAAAAAAAATTCTTATGATACCAAGATATCAAAGATTATTGTATATCTAAATAAATGTTATATATGATAAATCGTATGTTATGAATTCCCTAGTATCTTCAAGCATAATTTATTATGGACATGAAAATTAAAAATAGACTATTTGTAAAACTAAAAAGAGACGCTATATAAAAATAAAAAGATAAAAATAATTGTAGATATCAAATTATATAATCTAAAATAATACAAATCACCAAAAATCTATAGTTCCAAAAAAATAGTCTTAGTCTCACTAAAGTATATCCATAGTCTTATTATAAAATTAAGTTTTTGCAATAAAAGTAAGACCGAATTCAAAGCATTAAACAATTTTAATAAATTGATACAACTAGAAATTAAATAAAATATTTCATATATAATGATAATAAAATATTTCAAAATAAAAATAAGTTTTAAACAAAATATCCAATAGAAAATAAATTCATGCAAATCATGGGTCAACTACTAGCAAAAAAATAAGGGGGAATTGCCAAAACCAACCCAAATATTCCTTTTAACCCTAAAGGTGTACCCCATATTCAATCAATTGCAAACCCAACCTAAATGGATGTTAAAACTACTATTTAACCCTTATGAACAAACAAAAAACATGGAATATATTTTACGATTTTATCCTTCGTAGGTCTACACTTTAAGAAAGAAGTCTACAACTAGGTAGACTTACATTAACGTCTACTGTGTAGACTCGTGTAGACTTATTATTTAGTCTACATCTTAATTTAATCAAATAATTTTATTTTAAAAATGTAGAAAAAAGGTTTTTGGTAATTTTTTTATTAAATCATCAATTTAAAGGTTAGTATGAGGTATATAAATTAAATTTTCTTATAATTGAAAATTTTAAAAGAATGTATATTTATTTGGGAACTATGTGGTAGACAATGTTAATGGTTTAGCAACCAAAAGTTCTAACATGTTATGTTTTTTAGAGTTAGATTCTTAGGGTTAGATTCTAAATTTAGAATTATTTTGTTTTAATGATTTAAAATTGCATATTTAATGTTGAGTAGTTTATATTTTGTATATATGATATTTGGTACAATGACTAAGATCTTTTTTATAATCAATCAAACGTTTAGGGTTTGAGATTTGGGGTTTAGGGTTTGAGATTTCTGGTTTAGGGTATAGTAGACTTACAGTTAAGTCTACTTCTATGTAGACGTCTATTTCAGTCTACGTTAATATGTGTTTACCAAAATAAATTATTTTAAAATTAAAATTAACTAAGCGGCAAGTGAAAATGAATTTTAGAGCCTATTTTTCCATATTGGCGCCAATATTTAGGGTATAGTAGATTTAATTTACAGTAAAGTCTACTTATATGTAGACGTCTATTTCAGTCTATGTTAATTTGTCTTTACCAAAATAAATTATTTTAAAATTAAAATTAACTAAGCGGAAAGTGAAAATGAATTTTGGAGCCTATTTTTCCATATTGGCGCCAATATTTAGGGTATAGTAGACTTACAATAAAGTCTACTTATATGTAGACGTCTATTTCAGTCTACATTAACCAATTTAACCTAACCGAAAAAATTACACAGCATATAAATACTTTTTTAGGGTTTTCTGGTAAAAAGAATCCTAATCACGCCGTTTAGATCTGAGGCGGTTTAGGGGGCGATTTCCGGTGAGATTTCCGGCGAACCCTCTTCGACTCCGTTTTCACACCCAGTCACGTTCCTCTCGGAATCACCATTCACCACCACGACCATCACCACTATCCTCTCCCATCCTTCAGCCATCTCCACCTTGTCTCCTCCTCATCTCCTCCTTGTCACCACCATTACTCTCCGCCTCGTCTCCTCCGCATCTCCACCATTACTTTCCGCCTTGTCTCCTCGTCATCTCCTCCTCGTCATCACCATTACTCTCCTCCTTGTCTCTCTCTCTCTATATATGTGTTTATAAAAAGTCTCTGCATCTCTTATTGTTTTGATTAAAGTGTTCAATATTTGTTCTAGGGTTTGTATATGTTCAATTTATTTGCTGTAAATTTAAATGCATATGTCGTTGACGAAAATTGATGAAGTGTTATGAGTTAATACATGTTTGTAGTGTACAAGCATGTGTTGTGTTTTATTGATTTCTCTGGCTCTTTTTGTTGCAGGTTGCTCCCAGAATCTTACTGTAGACTACGATTTGTAGACTTTTACTGCAGACTACGGATTTGTACACTGTCTTATAGGTCTACATTAATTTAGACTGAATATACAGTATACATAGAAAAATCTTTTAAAAATTGGATTTGTGTATTGTTTATTTTAGGTTTCTGATTCTGTTTAGAGAAACATTGATTGTTCATTATATTTTCGGATGCATTGTCTTAGATTCCGTATAGAGAAACACTGATTTTTTATTATATAGTTGGATGCATTGGGTTAGCTTAAGCTTGTTTTACTCCTTATTCTGGTCGTAGGTTTCATCTTGTTTCGTACTTCAGGTTCACAAGGCTTAGTTTTTAGATGTTTTGATGGCTTCCCTCGTAGACACCTTATAGACTTGTGCTACTCTGTTTAGGTTTGCTTGGTTTCTGCAACTCTTCCTCACAATCTTTAGTCTTGGACAAGCAGTTCCTCGTCTGTCAAGTCTAGCTGAAGGTAATAGCAGGAGTCAAGTAAATCTTTAGGCTCGTACTCTGTTTCTTTATTGTGTAGAGATACCATTACAACACAAAGTATTCACATGCCAGGTATAAAAGATCTCTAAAGTTTGTCTCTTTTTGTTGTTGGTTAAAGATTGTTGATGTCTGCTGTTAGGGTCCATATGGAATCTTGAAGAGCTGTTTGGTTTTTTGATGATGACAAAAGTTCATTCCTTTAGCTTAGAACAACTTTAAAGTTTTTTTCTTATATTGTGTTTTTAATGGGTTTTAGGAATGGTTACAGCTTCAGCTGATTGCTCTATTCTAGCCACCGATGTGGAGACTGGTGATAGTGTTGCACACCGTGAGAATACGCACGAGTAATTCAGTTCCCCTTTTAAAAAAAATTGACACACTTTCTGGTTTTTTTTTCTAGGATAAAGCATTTAACATCACTTCTTGGATGCAGGTAATGGATTCTTTAAAGAGAAAAAGTATCTCAGATCCATCCTCACAGAGTCGCCACCACTACCGTCAGTCTCGTCATAATCACCACTGGTCACCTCTCTGTCTCCTCGCTCTCTGAATTTGAATCATTTATAAGAGTGGTTAGGATGTGTTTTTTGATTACTAAAAAAGATTTGAACTTTATTTGAGAAAATCTATGTGAGTTTCACGCTTTACTCATAGCTTCTAATCTTAATTAATGTCACTGAAATCAGATGTGTAGTGCCCATTAATCACTGTCAAATCCTGTGTACCATACTCTTAGTTTAGTTATGGTCGTTTTTTTCCCATATTATTCTGATTTGTTTTGTTGAATCTTACTTCTTTTGTTTTGTTTTCTGTAGATTAACCTCCATTCTTCGTTGATGGGACATGAAGAGTGGAAGAAGACCTTGAGTTGTTGAAGAAGTTTACGGTGGAAGAAGAAGATGAAGCTGCTGGAGTCTTCAATTTTTTTAGGTTTAGAATTTTTTAAAGATTTGGTTTGGTGTAAACCAAGTTGGGGAAATTGTGGTGGTTTGACTTTAGTTTCTAATTATTGGTTTAGTTTTGTAAACTAGTTTTAATTTATAAATAAAATTTCTTAGTCTTCTTTCTTGTAGACTTACAAAGAAGTCTACTTGACAGAGAAAAATATATCATAAGTTTACCACATTAGACAACATCCAAAGCAACAATATAGTTTATAAGTTCAACACAGACTAAAGACTTACAAATCCAATAGAAGACAACTCAAAGCAATGAGACACTAATACATAATAGAAAATCCATAGCAATAAGACAACTCATAAGTTTGACACATAACACTAACACATCTAGAGTTTTTCACCACCCATTCTCTGTATACAACGAGTAATTGAGCCATCTCCTGCAAAATAAATACGGTTTACATAATTAGCAAACAAAAATTTCATGTTTGATAAAATTATAAAATAGACTTACAAGTACATCTACAATTATTAGCAAACAATATAGTTAAACCAAAAATTATATCATAGACTTACAAGTACGTCTACAAATTTTAAGTTAACAACAGACAAACAAAAAATTTGATAACTTCCTAATTATAACAGATTATCTTCTGAAAATCATTCAAGACCCTTATGATTAACTAACACACACTTCATAAAAAAATTTCTAGGTAGACTACATATTCAGTCTATAGACGGGTAGACGTTTTATTCAGTTTACATTTTGTAGACTGCAAATTAGGTCTATGTTTAGGTTGGTTTTTGCAATTGCCAAATTCACGGGTTACTTTCTGTATTTTAAAAAAGATGTGATTTTATACGAGTAGACTTATTTTTTAGTCTACATTTTTAAAAATGTTAGTTTTGCAATTGACCAGAATTCGTTCAGAGTTTGACTTTTAGAAGTAGACTTACTATGCAGTCTACATTTTTAAATTTGTTTGAAAGATGGTTAGTTTTGCAATTGACCAAAGTTGACTTTCTACTAGTAGACAAAACTAAATGTCTACGTAACTGTAGACTGCAGTAAAAGTCTACACTATAACCGGACAGGTTAGTTTTGCAATTGACCAACATAAAATAGTAGACTTCATATGCAGTCTACTTTCTACTTTTTTTTTCCTAAGATTTCTAGACTGCATATGAAGTCTACACGTAAAGTAAGTTTTAGTCAGTTTCTAAATATTTTAGTCAAATACAAAAGAAACCTATTCAATGAAGTCAAAGTTTTGGTCAAATGCA